TCATTAATTCTATTACTTTATGTTTATTATTGCTATTTGCAGTTTTCTGACTTCAGCAAGGCACTTTACGTCGACAAGCAACTACTTCAAAATGTCCATAAAAAGCATCAAGGCTCGTCAAATCTACGACTCTCGTGGAAACCCCACAGTAGAGGTAATATATTAAATTGTATGGAAATGCATCTGTAACATTTTATTATATATTTTTTTATATGATATTATTTGTGTGCTTTTAGGTCGACCTTGTCACTGATCAAGGGCTCTTCCGCGCGGCAGTGCCATCTGGTGCATCTACTGGTGTCCATGAAGCTTTGGAACTGAGGGATAACGATAAATCTAAATATCATGGAAAATCCGTTTTCAAAGCCATAGAGAACATTAACTCCATCATTGCTCCTGAACTGACAAAAGTACTGTTCGCTAACTAAATATCATAAATACCAGAGTCCTGTGAACTGTGATTAATTTTATAAATATAATGCAAGGCTCTAATAGATGCCAAATATTTATTACACAACATTTTATAGTTATATTAAGAATTGACAGACATTGATAAAGATCTCTTATTCTCAAGGCTGGATTGGATGTTACAAAACAAACAGAAATCGACAATCTCCTGCTGAAATTGGATGGCACGCCGAATAAATCCAAACTTGGAGCAAATGCAATTTTGGGTGTCTCCTTAGCAGTTTGCAAGGCTGGTGCTGCTAAAAAGGGTTTAGCCTTATATAAGTAAGTATATTTGACACTCATAATTGCAGTGAGCAAAATATTAACAATGTTGATAGGTGGATAGCAAATTTGATTAAATTTCTCTTTTTTTGTCGAAAGAAAACATTTTTAAATATCTAGCTATTAAATATACTCTATACGTGACTATATTTTACATGTATGTATTTGTACTACAGACATATTGCTGAGTTGGCTGGCAACAATAATATCATTTTGCCAGTGCCAGCATTTAATGTGATTAATGGTGGTTCTCATGCTGGTAACAAGTTGGCTATGCAAGAATTCATGATCTTACCCACTGGTGCAGCCAATTTCACAGAAGCCATGAAAATGGGCAGTGAGGTCTATCATCACTTGAAGGCAGGTATCAAGAAGAAGTTCGGTCTTGACGCCACAGCTGTCGGTGATGAGGGTGGATTTGCACCAAACATTTTGGAAAATAAGGAAGCTCTTAATTTGATTATCGACGCTATTAAGGTAAGTTGAGAGATTTATGACATGAATTTTACATTATTATTTTACAGTGATTGTCAATTTTCAAGAATTTTGCCATAAATTTATAGACTGCCGGTTATGAAGGGAAGATCAAAATTGGAATGGACGTCGCCGCCTCTGAGTTCCACAAAAACGGAAAGTACGATTTAGACTTCAAGAATGAGAAATCTGATCCGAGCACATATCTGGAACCAGAAGCGTTGAAGAACTTGTACTTGGAATTTGTCAAAGATTTCCCGATCGTATCGATTGAGGATCCCTTCGATCAGGATGGATGGGATTCCTGGACCGCTCTGACCGCGGCTACTCCTATTCAAATCGTTGGTGACGATCTCACGGTCACTAATCCTGTCAGGTAATAATATCCAAGATCTTTTTTTATTTTCTTAGATTTTGATTTAAATTATTAATCGCTATTCTTTTGTTTCAGGATTCAAACAGCAATCGACAAGAAAGCTTGCAACTGCCTGTTATTAAAGGTCAATCAAATTGGCAGTGTAACAGAATCCATCAATGCTCACAAGCTCGCCAAGAGCAATGGTTGGGGCACCATGGTTTCCCATCGTTCCGGAGAGACTGAGGACACGTTTATCGCTGACTTGGTTGTTGGTCTCTCGACCGGCCAAATTAAAACTGGTGCGCCTTGCCGCTCGGAACGTTTGGCCAAATACAACCAGATTCTGCGTATTGAGGAGGAGCTTGGCGCTGCCGCGAAATTCGCTGGAGAGAAATTCCGCAATCCGCATAATTAAATGAAACTAAAATACAGATACAGTCCACTACCACAAAAATTCGGCTGCCTATTATATGAATCAATTTTTCGCGATCGTCATAATGATAAGTGTGGCATAGCCCGAAGACATTGTTTTTGTAGTCTCGATAAATTAATATATATCTCGTGCAGCGATAGAGAGTATATTAAATACGACGCAATTAAAACTATATATAAAATATATTTAAAATTTATTTAAAATTTATTTTAAAATTTATTTAAAAAAAAAATTAACTTTAAGATGTGCAAAATTCTCTTCTGGTTATAATATTTAGTTTCTATAATCGTTAATAATTTTTATTTTTTATTTTTGCGAGTTATGATATTGTAGAGGATTAATTATTTTATAGTCTGCTACATGCCCTCTCCCTCAGCACTCTACAAATATATCGAAAAGACAAATATTAAAGAAATGTTAAATAGTGATAATAACTATGTAACGCAAGATGAAAAAGACAGCCGAATGAAAAAATAATAAAATTCTATTTTAGTGTCAACATGTGCTCAGTATCACATGTGAGTACCGATGATAATAAACATGTCTATAATAGAATACACCCTGTTGTCAAAAGGCATATCTGTAAAAGTAAATTAATAAACGAAATCCTGCGTGCAGGATATATTACTTCGAAATTGATGCCTTGGTTGCTTCCTCACATTAAATTATTAAAAATTTTATTTTATTCATACATCAATCATACACGGAGAAAATTTGATATTAAAAATTACTATGTACGGCATTAACCGCGGACCGAAAATTTTTACTATATTTCACATGTGGAAAACATAGCAAAAATTTTTATAATTTCTTCATGGTTTGCAGCTACTACCGTACATAGTAATTTTTGATATAAAATTTTCTCCGTGTACGACTTAATATGATTTGTTTATAAATAAAGAATATACATACATTTGTCATTATGTCATTACATTGCTACATCTAATGGCATAATTTTAACTTATCCGCACATATTCATAAAAACATCTTAAAATAATAACGATATAAAAAATGTACAATTACATTTACTACTAAACAAAGATCGCAGTTGTATAAATTATAGAAAACATCTTAATTTGTTCTTATTTACACGCGATGAGAAATATTAAATACTATTGTAGAAAACTATTCTTCTTGGACACGGTTCCTTCTTCTTGCCTGTCTTCTGGTTATCCATAAAATATTACTTTGCTGTAAAAACATAATTATATTAAGCACACTGTGATCTCCGTGATTAATAAGTTTATTCAATTTTTTAGAAGTGAAATATTTTCTCACCTGGAAATAATCTTCAATCTCTTGAAGCGTACGGTCCTTTGTTTCCGGTAGAGCAAGGTAAATAAAACAGCCTCCAGAAAAGCGAAAGTACCGAAGATGGCGAAAATCCCCGTTGTGCCAACTGCTTCGTTCACCTTAAAATAATATTGAATCTTTCTTCGCACAATTAACAAAATAAAAAAATATCTAAAATATCCTCAAAATGTATAGAATAATCTCAGACATTGCGCACGTACATTTAATTAGAAACATATGAATAGTGTCCTTTTCAAAATTTTGTTTCGCATGCAGAAGAAAATACTGTGATACTTTACCAATGGGAAACACTTTGTAGCGAAGAACATAAGTAAATTGAAGAAGAAAAAAATAAATCCACCGCCGATGCCGCGGGCTCTTAGAGGCATCAGTTCGCTGATCATCAGTCCGGGAAGTGTCAGCAGACCAATGGTGTTCGCGGCAACGTAAAGCAGCAGACATACAGCCAGCACGTAAGACTAAAGTCGTGTATTAAATTTATTAACGCACAGAACGAATCGGAAAACGCAGAAAATCGAGATACTCACGTCTACGGAGGCTCCCCCCTTCCCGGCGACCATGTATCCCGCAAGGACTAATGAAGCCAAGGACGTACCGAGCGCCGAAAGGATGCCTAAGGTTCGCCTGCCCATTTTAAGTAGCAAAACGCAGGAGACGAGGGAAAAGATAAACCTGATAACCGCCGTCACCACAGCCGCTAAGTAATTATCCACATTGCCGCCGCCTGCAAGAAATGGCGTGATAAAACTTTACATTTTAAAAAGTTCGCGAGACTTTACAGTTTAAAAAGTTTACACTTTATAAAGTTTATACGACTTTACTTCAAAGTTTGACATGGTTATCTACTTACTACTGAAAAATATATATGTGAAAATTAAAGTTTCGAAGGAAAGCAAACACATTCTCACCGATATCCTTGACCATATCGACGGCGTAGAAGACGATAATGTACGTCCCGCTACTTAATTGAAGCATGTTGAACACGTTGATGATGACCAATGGTTTCAGCACACCCGGATCGCGAATCGTGGACACCGCCGAGAAGATTCGCTCCTTCAGCGATATATTTGCGGGCCTTTCATCGAGATCAGTTTCCATTCTTGTGTTGAGAAACGTTATCTCCTTACACATCTGATTAAATCAAATACTTTCAAACACTTGCGACACTGTTACGCCAACGTTATTACTCGCTAATAAATTCTTTTGCGTTTTTCATACGCGCGAAAATAGATTTGCGAATTTTCACCTGTTCCATATCGCCGCCTCTGAGCCACAAAAGGGCTTTCTTAGCGCGCTCAATTTTCTTCCGTCTAACGAGCCAGACGGGACTTTCGGGCACCAAACAGAGAGCGACGGAGGCCAGAAAAGGAAGTACAATGGCGCAGAAGGCCACGATGTCCCAATTAAAAGAAGCGCCCAAAGCGTAAACAAGCAGGATGCCGCAGCAGTACGATGCGAAACCGCCCACCGCCAAGAATCCACGAAGGTTTGGATCCGCCATTTCTCCTACTAGTACCTAAAAAAATGCAGATTTAGGCTTTAAAATATGGTCAATGCAAACGTTATGCTTTAAAACTATTGAAATTTTTAATAAATATAGTATAGTAGAGTAAATAATGAAGTTATAAATAGTGGTTTAAATAAAGAAATCGATCGGTGTGAAATAAGTAGACAAAAGTCAATCAACAGATCAAGTAGTAAAAGTCCGTCCATGATCAGACCGAGCAAAAACTAAACCGATCAAATGGAAGATAATTATGTTAATGTCATAGCGTTAAATATTAATAAAATAATTACATTAATATCGCGTTAAATGTTAATAAAACATGATGTTATATTAAATAAAGATTTATTATAAAAAATGAAATCGAAGATCATGAATTAATTAAGCTACAGTAAACATTAAACTGACAAATTTAAATATAATTTTCTTTTTATATGATATTCAACTTTCATCTTCGTGAAACTTATTTTACAAAGTTCCATATGTTATTATTAATTTATTTCTGCTTTACAGATATATGTCGCATTTTTAATTCATTCTGCATGAAATACTGTACCTGTGCAGGCACTGCCATCAATCCTACGGACAAGCCGCAGACGACTCTTCCTACTAAAATAGAAATCACGTTTCTGGAGAAACCGATGATCAGCCAACCTATGCATAAAGGAACAGCCGACAATTGGAGACTACTTCGTCTGCCGATTGCATCGAGCAACGGTCCTGATAGCAAGGAGCCGATAGGAGTAGCCAGACTGTGAACCGAAGCTGCATAACAAACAGTTCATTACTTTAATAATTGCATGGTCCACGTTCCATAAAGAAACTAATCCAAATATCCTATTCTTTTTTCTACTATCCTTTTCACTCTTCTTTATCGCTGCATAACAAACAATTCATTACTTTAACAATTGCATAGTCCACGTTCCATAAAGAAACTAATCCAAATATCCTATTCTTTTTCCTAATATCCTTTTCATTCTCATTTATCATGCGCGCAAAGGGATTTAACGTCATTTTTTTTATTAGTTTAGAAGTTTGCGGAGCGTAAAGAATGAATAACGTGAAAATTCAAATGGCACGTAATTGCAAATTTGCGCATTAATGAGCGTATCAAACGACAATTGTGCGCCAACCATAAAATTCTTACGAGCGTTCGTTAAAATGTTATTGCGCGACGCAGAATATAACGGAGCAATTAACGCGAAGCTATTTACGATCACATGTGCATCTATATACTATTATCGGATTGAACGTGGGACGTGTTTGTTATAAATGTTAAAAGTTTAACTCGCAATGACACGAGAATAATCGCATATTACGGCCCACATAATTATTAACATATTGCGTAGTGTTTGCGCAGAAAAAAAATATAGTAAAAATTTTTTCGTAGGAAAAGCTATTCAGTCGAATTGCAATTATTATTCGTCGACTTTCAAAGAAGATTACAAGAGGATTTCGCTGAATACTTGAATTGAAATGATCATTAGCCTAGACAAAAGTTTCAAGCTCTTACCGGGAACGAGAAGAGTTCGCTAGTGTTGTAAAAATTTACATTTTATAATTAAAATAACATTGCGAAAAGCTTTCAAAGTAATAACTATATTAATTCGCACTCGTGAAACTAGAAATTACGAATATAACGAAATAACGTAATTATATTAATTGTAATTGTCACTATTGACCTTTTGATATTTCGGTATCCGATACATTAATAAAACCCATCGCCGCAAATTGCGATTCCGTTTTTTTTCCTAATTCATCAACATTCGCGTTGCATTCATGAGGAATGCAATCAATTCCATTTGGAACGCTCGTCGCGTGCATCGAGCTTGTTTTTTACGCCGCGTTCCTTTCGTCCTAATGAAATTGAAGGGATTCGTTACACATAGCACTGCAGCAAAAGAATAATTTTGTAGATATCTACATTTAATAAAATTAGATAAAAGTAAAATAATTTGCATACTTATAATTTATCGAAAAAAGATTGTAGATTTAGTCAACTTTTACAGTAATATTTTTTTCAATTGTATATCTAATTTAATAACAATCTATGTTTTATAAATGTGTTTTATGACACGCTTGGGACTGACACATAAAAAATCCACGCGACTGAGAATAAATATTTTGACACAACGAGTTACAAGCAACGTCTCTTACTGACACGTCACGAATAATGATCGTTGAGCCTTTCGGAAAAGCAGATGATCGATCACAATCAGTGCTAACGACTGCCAGTGACGTTAATTATTCGCGATAGGTAGCACAATAAATTCCAGATTGTAACAATGAAGATTCAGTGCGAGAATCAATCATTCAGCGGATCGCAAACCGTACTTCGATCTTACGATATATATTTCATGTGGGACCAATAAATTTTCAACATATGCATGACCCGTATGTTTTAAGAATAGCCCCTTTAAGCCTATTCGATCTTTTGTACAGTCGCGCGTAGACAGAAATGTGAAAGAAAAAGGGATTTCACACGCCTCGGTCTCCGATCTTGAATAATTGAAAATCCAACGCAACATGAAATTGAATAAATTTACCATCAAACCCTGGTAATCCCGTCTTTATATATTTATCAAATTTATAAACTGACAAAGAAAGATATTTCACGTGTGTTTTCTTTCTTTAATGCTCTACACAGAATTGTTTCTCGTGAAATTGATGATGCGCAAAGCGATATTACACTTTCTAAGCGATTTCGTATAAATATACGACTTTTATGTTATAGCAAGTATATATCCACCATCTGCAAACTATAAAATGCATAATATGTTGAATATTACAGATTTTATGGCGTGATAAAACGTTCTGCGCAGTAAGTAACAATATAATGTTACGTGCTCACATTGTTGTTTCACGCAGTTTACGCACCACACATTTAGGATAGTAGTTGTATACTTTGTAGGTCTCGTGCATGACACGTGCGCAATAAAGATACATAAAACAGAGTGCTAAAATTCACATTCTAGCGGAGATATTTGCTTTCCACACGTTATCCGAATAAAAGATTGCACGACCAATTTAATTGGCATTTATCAAAGGATGTACGTTTCTACGCGATCGTTTAATTATGACATTGCACGTTGTCAAGGCCCATAGACTTTCAAATGGTATCCTTCGCACACAAACTTGGCCTCATTGATAAAGATCATCCAATGAGACAGTATATAGTCGGTTACGGTTTGCAACGAACGGCGGCGGTCGCTTTATTCGCGCGAGGGTCGCAATAGTGCAACCTTGAACCTGCCTATCGGTTCTTGAACTCGTAAGGCCTCAGAGGAGATCTCTTTAATCTCGTTTCATAAATAAAGATCAATCGTCCGATTTAATACTGATGTAAATATCATTCATTTTTTAGGGAACAAACACGAATTGATAAAAGTTTTCTCCAAAAATATCTACAGAAATATTTTTACAAAATTATTTCCCAACTTATATGTCCTTAATACACTCACCCGAAAAAAAGCGGTACACTGAAAATGTGGGAAAAATTCATCAAATTTCAACTGACGATAACTTCGTAAATAATAAAGATAGAAAGTTCTATAAAATATGGAAATAAAGCTAAAAATCTCTACTTTAAGAATCAATTTATTTCAATGTTGCAAAATAAATTTATTGAAAATGGCGGATGACAAAGCGCGAGCATGCAAAATTGAAAAATAATGGTTCGAGTTTGCGACGGTGCACGGTATAAACAAAAAATTGTAGCTTATTGGGATCAAAAGCGTACGAAAGTACAGAGTCTCCTCTTTAAAATGCTTTTTTATGCATCTCGATACGATGATTTTTCGCTGAGAGATTCGCATTTGAAGTAAGAA